CGGAGGTTCTTTTCAGAGCATCGTCAGCGAGTTAAAAATTAGACGGCTTCAGAAAAACTGACAAACCTTAGATCGCTACCTGCGGACAATAATGGGACAAGATAAGAGGATGCACGACTTCATTACAATGATCAAAACCGCTCAAGTAAACGAAAAATCCTGAAACCTTTCCTTTTCAAGACGGACGTGGAGCCTCACAGTGGAGTGCTGTAACGAATTGGACCAACAACAATGAAGGCATTGCTTTTTCCGCAATAGAAAAGGCACGAAACCCACATCACACTTTGCCAGTTGCAGGAGTAAGCTGATCGTTTTGCGGGCTTACCACGGTGAAACAAAATAGCAAATTGTGCACGGATGCAGGGACTTTGTTGTACGATAACACATCCTAGAAACTAACATTTCATCTGCGAATTAAATACTTCTTCCTTATGTGTCAGCGGTGTATTTCCAAATAAAGTGTTAAAGATTATCGTTTTGTGCTGTTTGAGAGATGTGTTTAATCTTACGTGCCCATTACAATATTTCTGCTCTGGCATTGGCTTGTGCTAAATTGTGCATGTGCTAAACTTAATCAGTTGGAGCAAATGTGTTAAACATATAAAGTCAACATTTTTTCTGTAGGAAAGTACACGTGAATTTGAAGTCGTAGTTACCAGATGCCGTTGACGAACAAGAGCATAATGTGCGTTTCACAAGCTTGGTGATGGAGATGTGTGCCTTGAAGGTGCTAGAGTCAATGAGAACCCAACGTCATCGTCAACGACCCACTGGAGTCTCCCTCTCGAAGGTGCCTAATGCAAAGTGCATCGAGAGCTTGCAGAAAAACCAGATGAACAAGTGACAAAAGTTCCAGATCATTCCGACTAAGGGTGAAAAATCTCGACAAAGTTATGTTGCATAAAATAAAATTAACGGAAAACAAATGGACATTATATATTTTAGTGGCAACTGGATAGGTTCACCGCCCACAACAACGAAGTGTTTCGCACAGGAGCTATTACTCTTCATGACAGATAAGCCCGTGGGCGTCCATCAGCCGAATACGACGAGGACCTTGATAGAATCGAAGGCAACAAGAGAAAAACGGCTTCACAGATTTCAGATTTTAACACTCGCGAAAGAGATTCGTCACAACGGAGTCTCTTTCTTCTCTCATTTCGAATGTGCTGGAAAGTTGGAAATGTTCAATAGAGGAGTTCTTGACGAAAGAAACGAACAGAAAAGTAAATAGCAAATATGCCCAGCGCTTCTTTGCACGGAAGAAACGTTCTGCGATTAAAAAAAGTGAATTCCAATCGACCACCGGCAATGTTAACACATCAAGGCTTCCGAAAGGCGAACTTGCACCAAAAAAGGTTATAGTGACAATTTGATGGCCCACAATTCGATTAATATGATAAATACTGTAATGTAAAGAATGAAATAGATCGAAAATCGTAAGTTGTNTATTTTAATGGCAACTGGATAGGTTCACCGCCCACAACAACGAAGTGTTTCGCACAGGAGCTATTACTCTTCATGACAGATAAGCCCGTGGGCGTCCATCAGCCGAATACGACGAGGACCTTGATAGAATCGAAGGCAACAAGAGAAAAACGGCTTCACAGATTTCAGATTTTAACACTCGCGAAAGAGATTCGTCACAACGGAGTCTCTTTCTTCTCTCATTTCGAATGTGCTGGAAAGTTGGAAATGTTCAATAGAGGAGTTCTTGACGAAAGAAACGAACAGAAAAGTAAATAGCAAATATGCCCAGCGCTTCTTTGCACGGAAGAAACGTTCTGCGATTAAAAAAATAAATTCCAATCGAACACCGGCAATGTTAACACATCAAGGCTTCCGAAAGGCGAACTTGCACCAAAAAAGGTTATAGTGACAATTTGATGGCCCACAATTCGATTAATATGATAAATACTGTAATGTAAAGAATGAAATAGATCGAAAATCGTAAGTTGTTCAAATTGCACAGCAGAAAACAGCTACATATGTTAGGGTTGTTAATGGGGTAAAAAAAGCGTCACCACGTATCTCACTCACATGTGTGATCTCGACTCGGTTAGTCGCAAGGTTACGTGGCGCGCCCCCAGGTGGCGGATAGAGGGTTAATCGCGGACCAAAAGCGACGTTTGCTTCCCCGAGACGCATGTGGATCCAGGCTATGGACTCCCTGTTTCTGTTGCGCTCATCTGGCACATACTTTCTGTATTTGCTAGGCGTATTCATTCATGCGTGTGTGGGTGCGTTCCTGCTTACGCGGATTGCATTCTACAAGTCAATTCGGCCAAAAGCCTGCAATCACGTGACTGGAAAGCGTATGGGAGCCAGTTAAGAGTCGCCTCCAACAAATAGGCTCCATGTCCACTCTGTGAGAGCCTGGCAAGCTACCCGTGAGTATACCTAGCCCCCACGTTCAGAGCCCAGAAAGCTATACGTGGGTATCAAAAATGCTAAACATTGTTTGCAAAAGAAGCAGTAGTGAGTGTCAGAATGAAGAGTGAAAGTTGTTTCCAAACATGAAACGCGATAAGTCACATCGGTGACTAAGTACTTTGCTGATATTCAGCGATTTCTAGGCACTAATTCTGATTTTGCTCGCGTCAAGTACATAGTTATTGCATTCTAACACGTACTGACTGGATAGTTTATTTTTTTAATCAAGGAGTACATTTCCCGAAGTATTGTGCTTTAGGGTGTATCATCGCAAACTGAACTCGTCCATTTTTACACACACACTACGCCACGGAACACTGCGCTATACATGCTCTTATAAATAGTGAGGCAAAGAAAACCTTTAAACCTGCTGAAATAAATGTGGACAGTATATGATCCATACAGAGCGTTATAAGCTAAAGAATGTATGGTCTTTTCTACAGGACTTCTCCAAGTTTGTATAGCATGCCTTGACTTTGTCTTCACCGTAGTTTGCTGTCGATGCGTAGACGACGAAGTCTGTCAAGGCCACTATTGACCCACATCTTTTCAGCCATTAAGGTAACATTCGGGTTGTTAGTTCCTTGAAGTTAACGTTGACGCAGACGACTCCTCACTGAAATGAATGCGGACACTATATGCTCCATACTGAGCTCTGTTGTCGCATTTTCCGAGGAACAGCTCATTTCCGGTATCATTGCCGAAGTCGAATGAACGGCGAGTTCTCTTCTTATCCAGTTTGATGATTTCGTACCTTATCGTTTCTGCCTGCATGATGAAGTTCTGCATCGAGGACTTTGCTGAGAAGGAACCTGCATTGTTGTAAAGATCGCTCCTTAGTGGCAAAGCTAGGGTTAAAAACTTAGCGTAGAGAAAGGCAGAACAAGGGCCTCTGTGGTGTAGTGGGTAACACGTGATCCTGAAAAAGTAGTCAAGGGTTGGAATCTGGGTTAAGGTCCGAGTTTTGCAAATATCTCAGCATCACTGTCGTTGTACTACTACCATGATGTGGAAAAAAAGATAGGAGATAAATAAAAAGTTAGACGTTATCTCAGCCTTTCAGGATTTAAGTAGCCTAGACTGGTTCTGAGAGTTAAGGAGCATCTCCGTGCTCTTTCTACTCAGCACCATCGAAATCCCTACCTATTTTACAGCGTTTAGCATATGACACCCACGCAATGTTTGCTGAACTCTGAACGTGGGGCTGGATATACTCAAGGTAGCTTCCTATTCTCTCCCAGAGTGTACGAAAAAGTTGTTTGTTGCGAGCGACTTTCCATAGCCTGCCATATACCTCCCGGCCATTTGATTGCAGGCTTCTGGCCGAATTAACTCGTAATGCAATAAACATAAACGAGAGGTTACTCACATATTTAAAAAATATTCCTTCGCAAACGCATAGTGTGTGTATTAAATCGGCGCACTCTAAGCAGGGATACCATTCACTGGATCGACCAGCGTCTCAAGGAAGCATAAAATCGCTTTTGGTTCCCAGTTAATCCCCAGCTCGCCAAATTGGGGACGTGTCACGTTGCTACGCGACTAACTGGCAGGAGATCCCTCAGTGAAAGAGATCTGTGATCTTGGCAAGGTTTCAATGAAAACTTGGCTCCAGATATGCGATACTCGTTACTGCTGGCTGCATGAACCAACTCCGTTGCCGAATCACGACAAAGTTGTTCTGCAATTCGAATTCAGGACTACTGAGCAGAACCTGGCACTATTTTCCACCTGTATCCCTATCTTCTTATTTTTAGACACGTGCCTCCGAACTCTCACACACTTTTCCAAAGCATCGGAGGCTGCCTTTACAATACAAAAAGTTTGATTCTGTGTAAGAGAAAAAAAATCTTAAGAATATATCAACAACTTGCTGCAACCCAATTCTGCAATGAATCATACAGCTCTCGGTAATTCCTTCTCAAAACAGGCATCCCACTTTTATATCAAATAAGTCCATATTATTATATTCCCCCCAACGGTTTACCGCCTCATCGTGGCTGGAAGGTGTTCCTGGGTGCCGGTCTGCGATGTACAGCGGAGTGATTCGTCTTCCCGTCAGCGTCTCCTCAGCTGAGAAAGAGCCCCGCGTTTCCATCAGAAAGCCTAGCTAAGAGTAAACCAATAACAGGACCCACCACCGTCCTGGTAGCAAACTAGTCGCATGGAGGCAAGTCTTCTTCTGATCCACAAGGCGGTGACAGCCTGTGGTGGTGAAGATCAGTAGCAGACTTCGGCCTGGCTGACCTCAGGGCTCAAAAGAAACATCATGGCTAAACCAGCAAAACTGAAAAAAATGCAGATTATGCTGGGATCCACACAACAAGTGAAGATGGGCTACCCATGCATCTAAGTAAATATTACCAACGCTCACAATATGGGAAGACCATCCACTAGTGTCAAAATATTCTCCGTTAACTTTCTGCGGTTGAGGTTGTTGGAATGAGCAGAATCTTTTTGTAAACTATAAGAATCTGTGGGCTAATGAACTGAATAACCTATCGAATTTCCATCCAGTGGAAGTAAAATCAGAAAGCAGCCCTTACAAAAATGGGGGCCATTTGAAATTAATCACATACACTCACTTCCATGTCATCGCTGTCACCACTCTTGAAAACCACATGGTCGGAGCCGCCGCGGAAGACGGATGTTGTCGAACTGGTCTGCTAGAAGCAAATTTACCAATAAAGAGCCACAGAACACAGGAACAACGACGAACTTTCGAAACACAAAGTGACTTCGTTCCTATTTGGAAGCGTAGCATCCTTGCATACCTCCAAAACCGATGATCCACCATGTAGAGGGATTTCGCGATGTTGCGTCGATTCTCTCTTATGATAACAAAAAGCCTTGTAGAAAATTTTTTCCACACGTTTCTGCTAGAAGTGTGTTAGTTCTATCACAGGTCTACTCGTAAACACTCAATAGAACCATTCCGTAACTCACTGGAACGTACCTCGCAGCTCACATCTACAGCTCATATTGCTAGAAAAAGATTGTATCAAATAGAAAAGCACCTTTCAAGATGCCATGTTTTCAGCACAGCTTCACTCGTAAGCGTTTGCGTGATTTTGCGAATTCATTGTACACCATGTTTGACTCCCAAATGCTTCGAAGCACTGAAAAGTGGTGCGAAACTTTGTTTGTATGTGAGTGTGATGAATGCCGAACTGCCGTGCAGAGCACGAATCCATTCCCTTGGTGGATTTCCCAAGCCGAGTTCAACTCTTCAACATTGATCTTGACTAAAAGTAAGCCATTGCCAGGTATCACCGCAATACCAGTAAAAAAAGTGATAATTTGCTGGCAAGCGATGACGGAGCGAAATCTCTTCTACGGCTTTCCAGTGAAAGAAAACCTTGCTTTGGTTCTCTATTATTTATGGAGAGAAGTCATCTAAGCACTCAGATATAAATAGGAAAGTCACCACTCTTGTTACAAGCCTACTCCAGAACTTGTCATACAACAAGACGTACTTGGATCCGTTAATTGGAAAGTGGCTTCTTTAGACAGGACTGAATGCGGCCATTAATGTTTCCCTTCTGTGGTTTAATTCTTTCTTCATGTTGTTCTATGTGTTTATGAGACGTCCGCCATAAACGTAAGATGTTGCCTCTGTAGTCATTAAACCATCCAGTTCGATTTGTTTCCTTTTGCACTTCCTCATGAGCTGGTTCCTGGTACTATTTATGGGAAGTTGAATCTTTTCTTCCTCTTTCCTGAGGTCATTTAATATCTCTCTGTTTCGTTGGCAGCTCGTTAAAAAATATGACGTCATTGATGGAACACAGATTTGGCAGAAATTCTCCATCGGTACCCATGCGCTTCTCGTCCTGATCAAGTGAGTGCATTACTTAATGGAGGGTGGGAGTAAACAGCTCTGGCAATATTGTGCCGCCTTGTAGAGACCGTTTTCCTGTGGGTAGCTTAAGGTGTCAGTGGAAAAGCTATAATTCAATGTAGCAGTTCCTATAATGGTTGGCTAGTGTTGGTATATAGGACGGGTCCAGTTCTTGATCGACGTGCGCTAATAAGACTGCTTTGATTTCGTCGCTCTTAAACGCTTTTTCACTGTAAATCACTGTTAGGACAAGAGACAGGTGGTACTTCCGACAGATCTGTATGAACCATAACACAACCTGGATGTGGTTCGTTGAAGGATTTTTCTGTCGAAATCCTATCTTTCCAACTGATTCTACTTCGTCCAAGGTCTTCAATATGGGCAAAATTATATCAAACGCAGCGGACAACAGTTACGAAGATCTTCAGTCACCGTTCTTGGGCGGGAATGACCGAGCGCAACATCGTTCCACGGTCTGAGATATTCTTCCCTTGAAGGTGAGACGTCATGTGGGTTGGGAGAAAAGCATGTAATTTGCGGCTTCCACAGCGAAAGAACTCGGGTGCAGCATTATAGTGTACTGGAGCTGTGCTGGTCTTCATGCTTTCTATTGCAACTCTGACTTCAGATTGAAAAATGCTCGCCGATACTTCGATGAGGATCTCGGAGTCAGCGGGTTGGGGATTTATCTCATTTACTGTTTATAGCAGTTTTCGAATTGCGGAGTATACAGAAGCATCTACCCATAATCAAATATTTCGTCAAGCAAGAACTTCCTTCCTATTTCTTCAAGCCATAATGGATAAACGATATAGCAAATAACGCGAAACAAAGGAATGCAGAATCAAATTTATCACTAGCAAGGCCATTTTTGTACGCTAGTGCAAGCAAGTATGTAAATAGATCTATCTTTACGCTCATGAAAAGGATTTTTGTTAGTTTTCCTTTTTTAGCTTTCATCAGTGTTACTACTGCAATTACTCCACATGAAGGCGCGATACTTAGCGGTCAGAGAAAAAAAAGCGTCGGAAAGCTTCCGATTCACGCTTTAAAGCAACTCCCTTTTCGTTCACTTTCAAAGACATGTCGACTTTAGTAAATTTCCGTTTTTTAATGATGATGAAAGTGCAAATAATGGAGAAAAGAATGGACGAAAATGACACACCGAGTGTGGAAAGCCTTTCTTAACCGTTTCTTGAAAAACCCACAACCTTGTCACTAATAACAGCTTCATTGCTTATTTTATGATGGCAGCGTTTATTTGTTTCGATCAATTTCAAGATAGATTTCTTCATTTTCTCGAATTATATAGTGGAAACTTGTCTTTTTTAACATTAAACACTTAAAACATACCGATGTTCCAGGGTTTTTAAGGAAACCCCACCTCCCCTGTTTCTAATTCTTTACTGTTTAAAAGCCAAGCAGGCATGAGGCACCAGATGAAGCCTAGTCAAGAGTAAACCTTTGCCGCAGCATACTCCGGCGAGCTATCCGAGGCAACCTCATCACCAGAAACGGTTAAAGCGGTGCCTTTGTTCTAATCGTGAGCTTATGAGAGGTTGTTAAAAGGTAAAGGATGCAACTCCCCACGTTGATCAATCCATTACGGATGCACCATGCATTCGACTTCATTGGGCATCGTTAGAGATGATTGAATGCATATCTGTGGTTCCGCTATGTTGTTGAAATCACTTAATCGGCTAACGTTTCATCCCTCTAACCTGCTTCAAAACTATGACGATTCGAATCGGTTCGAAGCAAAAGCTCAAAAGCTAAACCTGAATTATAGTTGAGCTCAGCTTGAAGGCTGAAATTGGTTTCATGCAAAAAGTGTGACGGTGTTCGTGCTCTTTTATCGGGTAGACCTCACTCAGTGACTAAGACGGGGACGGGGACCAATGTAGTTTACTGGTTCCAGCTTCAGAAACTCAGCTACGGAAGAAATTTCTGCTGATGCAAGTGACATAGGTTATTTTGATTTAAAAAGCCTGTTCGATTGTTTTTCATTTCAGGAGCTCACTACGGATCGATGAAAAAAGTGGTACTGACGTTAAAGCATAATCACCATAATGAGAAATTCACTCAAATACCTTCATTCCCATCTTCCTTCCCTCACTCTTCCACTTTCTCTTTCCTTTTATACATCTTTGTGGACATTAACCTTGGAGAGATAAAGGTCATCAGTTTACCACAACTTAACAAGGTCTACTTTAGTTAATTTTGTCACATGTCGGGTAAGCAGCTGGTTTCGTGCAAAAGGATGCATTGATGCTTCCGAATGTATTTTTAATATTTGCGGAGAACAACCTCGTGTTAAAAAATTTAACTATCTAATTTGAACTTATTATTTACTGCCTACTCTTATTAACGGCAGAGTATACATTGTGAAATATAACTTCAATGATGCTGAGATATTTGCAAAACTCCGGATTGCAGGTGTATGCGGTGGGGAACGAACGCGTCCACCACCACACCACGCCGACACCAAGATGAGAGACAGACGAAACGAAGGACCCGCGTGGTGTTGTGGTGGATGCGCTACTCCCCGGAAAGGACAATAGCGCGTTCGCTCCTCACCGCATACACCTGCGATCCGGAGTTTTGCAAATATCTCAGCATCATTGAAGTTATCTAATTTACTTTTTAGCATTCTGAAAACTTGGAATCGACACCTTGAAGAAAGAATGGAAAATAAGGGACAAAAAATGCTTACCCAGAACTCCCAAGACCGACTTTCTTTTAACCTCGGCACTGATGGATGATTCGATGTTTTTCTTCAATAAGCAGATACGAGGTTGTTATTATAGGATTTATTAGGATACAACAGCTGACATTTCGGCGGTTTCGCCTTCTTCAGAGCCTGGAAAGGTCACAATGAGATGCAATCTAATCAGCCAAACGCTTTCATAACCCTAGCAGATAAAACTTAACAAATAAACTTATATTCGCATAAAAAACAGCTTAATTTAAACACTTACCGTTTATTTGTTGTAAGTATTTAAGTTAGTTGATGGATAGCAGCCGCACAGAGTAATACATGGGCGATAACTGTGTCTGTGTCATGTCAAATACCACCCGACACTCTAAGACGCCAGCTAGTTCGCAATCGCCTATATGACCGTCTACGTATAACGAAAAACTACATAATTTGCCCTAACGGTAGAGGCGGTGGTTGCATGAGTTCAGGTACAGTCTATCTGACCTCTTCTAAAGCGTGCGGGGACGAATACGTTGGCGAAACGGGTAGACCACTCTGCGTTTGCATAAAAGAACACCTGCTCGGTAAATCTAAATTAAAACCAAACACTCCACTAGGCGCGCATAGGATTCAGGAACACAACGGAGATTTTGAAGTAGGAGTCACTATCCTCACGCACGAATCGAAAACAGCAGAGCGTAAAATCCTTGAAGTGTTTTGGATCAATTCCAAAAATTCAAAACTGAACAGCAAGGAGGAGTGTCTTGTCATCAGGCGTGGCCTGGCGCCATACCTTAGACTAATCCAAATGACCTTACACAAACACAGTTATCGCTCATGTATTACTCTGTGCGGCTGCTATCCACCAACTAACTTAAATACTTACAACAAATAAACGGTAGGTGCTTAATGAAGCTGTTTATTATGCGAATACAAATTTATTCGCTAAGTTTTATCTGCTGGGGTTATGAAAGTGTTTGGCTGAATAGATCGCATTTCAATTTGACCTTTTCAGGCTCTGATGAAGGCGAAACCGCCGGTGCCTCGGCTATTGTATCCTAATAAATTCTATAATAACAACCTCGTGTCTGCTAATTGAAGAAAAACATCGGCTTACGAGAACGTTA